TCCCGTAGCTTGTGACGCGTCACCAAAGATGTATGGGGTCTAGCGTTGTCATGATGGAACACAACGCCCTTACGATTCACCATGGCTAGCCGCTTCTGTTCAAGTCCAATCTTCAATCGCTCCAGTTGTTCATAGTCAGAGCAGAGGTCAGAATTGATGGTTTGGCCATAGGGCAACACTTCATAATGGATAAATCCTCGGATATGCCACCATACACTCAGCAACACCTTCTGAGCCGTCAGTCCTGGCTTTGCCACCGTTTGAGACGACTCACCGTCCTTCGACCAGGATTTTTACGCTTTATGTTTTCATATGTGATCCATTTTTCATCACCAGTGACTAACCGATACAAAAATGATTCTAGTTTATTACGGTGCAACAAAGATTCGCAGATTGATACACGGTCGAAAAGCTTTTTTTGGGGTAACTCATGAGGCACCCATACATCGAGCTTTTTTGTTAAATTTTTCGACTTTAAATGCCTATGGTCGGTTTCCGTGCTTAGTTGCAGCTCCTCTGCAATGGTTCTAATAGTCACATGACGATCTCGATCCACTATTTCCATGATTTTATCTTGGGTGTTTCGGTATCAAAATTGCCACTTCGGAATCGCCTAAACCACTGTTCGGCGGTTTGAATCGAAAGTTTGTTATCTCCCTAAACAGCAATAATCTGTCTGCGAGATTCCGCAGCAGTTTTTCCCTGTTCGAAAAAATTTCTAAATTGCCCGAATTTCTGCGTTTGTGAACTCCATTTCAATCGATTGTAATTTTTTAACGTGGAAGCTTATGTAAACAAAGTATATATCATTTTAAAGGTGATGCCAATACCTTTCAAACGATACACAACATTGCCAGATACGATTATATTTGACTTCACAAGCCAAGCTCGAAATTTGAATGTAAAAACCCGTATGTCATTACCAAACAACCTAATATATTCTTTATCAGCATCGACAGGCGGATCATTCTAGCCATGTCCGGATGAAAACGATTTTTTTGCCAATTTTTGAAAATTTTCAAAAAATATTACATAATTTTAATTTTATATTATATCAAATTTAGTATGCAGAATTGTTAATTGAAAAGTGTCAAACGCATTTTCAAACGCTGTCAAATAAATCCAAGGTCGTAATATGCTTTTCCGCCCAAGTTCAGATGGCCCAGGACAAAACCGATGGCTTAAGGCTCTCTCTGTGCGCTTTGGTTTATAATCGAATAAATACTCCCTGTAAGAGCGCTTTTGTGCGAGTAAATATATCGAGTGCGTATCTATTAAAACGCAAGTGCAATTATGCCGGCAGCACACTTGTAATTAGACAACAACGCCCAGGTCTGCCGTTGGGCTCGTTCGAATATGAATATTATAAGACTCGAAGGCTCCAAGACTTGGCATTTAGCTGCTGCAGCTGGGATTTGTTATAAGCTCCTCAAAGGCTCACAGGAAAACACTCACTATCTTAAGCATCCTTTTGCGATTTTATTAAACCCCAATGAAATGCCAACGTGCCAATTAATGCTGCTGCTAAACCGTTTATTTCCTATCACTTAATATTGAATTTTCCACAGCTCACAGCCACGTTCAATATTTCCCTTTAACTCTATTGCCACATAGATATATTTTCATTTATTTTTATTTATTCATTCGCCAACGGAGGGACTCCTTAACTGGCTACATGTCTTAAATTTAATCCTAAGTTGTATTTTGAGCTAAATATAAATACAATTGTTTTTTTACCAAATCTCTGGGGGAGGTTGGGTCCAATCGCATGTTAGGCGGTAATTTGTTAAAATATAGTAAAGCCCTAGTAATCGGCTCATTTAGGGCATAATTAGTTCTACAGAGTGGAGTAGAAAATGGTTCCAATGATCTTAATTGCCTACCCGGAACATAAAAATTTACGAGGCTAAGTAAAGCGGGGCAGTCAATTTTGCCAGAAATCAGGTCAAAAATTATTAGAATGGCTGATACAGCTCTTCTATCTTCTAAAGAAGATAAATGCACTAATCGGCATTTAGCGGAATAAGAAGGAGCAGGATCGTGGAGATGAAGGGAGTAAAGGGCGAAGGATAGAAATTTTTTTTGTATACGCTTCAGTCGGTTTGTGTGTACGGCTCCTGAAGGGTTCCATATAAAGGAGGCATACTCTACCTTAGACCTTACGAAAGTAAAAAATAGGCTGAGTTTGGTGTAACGGTCAGAAAATTGAACCGCATTCCGCCGTATAAAGCCATACATTGCATATGCTTTGGGAATGATATAGTTAATGTGCTCAATAAAAAGAAATTTGTCATCAAACATTACACCCAAATCTAAGGCTTCAGTTCTGCAGGGCAGCATACTAGAATGAATTGAATAGGAAAACATAGAGTTATTAAGCCGTTTGCTGTAAGTAACAGAGAAGCATTTAGCAAGATTCAAAGGCAGCTTATTACAAGAACACCGATTCCCAACTCTACACAAATCCTCCTGCAGCTTAGCACTATCTAGAGCTGAATTCACTGACTTGAATATTTTTAAATCATCAGCAAACATAAGAAATTCCGAATTTTTAAAGCATGACCCTATATCATTAATGAACAGGATGAAAAGAAATGGGCCCAAGGCACTCCCCTGAAGAAGGCCAGAAGTCGCAATATACGGATCCGAGGAATGACCATGTAATGGTCACTCTATACATGCGGCCATTAAGATAGGAACTTAACCAAGTCAACATTGATGAGTGAAAGCCAATGTTCTTCGAGACATTGCTAAGCTTTGAAATTGGTCTGTAGTTTGAGACTATGGTTTTAGCACCCGACTTAAGGATGGGGGTAACCAGCTTCCATCTCTGAATAAATACTCCACTAATGAGAGATTTATTAAAAACACGAAAGGAAGCTAACTTCGGCACACCGAAGTTTGTATACCCTTGCAGATTGGTTTTGATGTTTATATTATAAATTTAAATGCTGAAAACACTCACAAAACAGAGTTTCATTACATTTTACCTATACTTATTATGTTTACAGTTTGACAGTTACAGTTTTACATTCCCAGTTTTACATTTTCTCTACATCTACCGATCGGTTTATATGGCAGCTATATGATATAGTTGTCCGATTTTCATAAAATTTTTACCAAAATTCTGAAATAATAAAAGAAGCTTATATCTAAAAGTAAATAAGAATATGTTGAAAAACAACGAAGTTATAATTTTTTCCTATTCATTTTCCGATCGTTCCTATGGCAGCTATAAGATATAGTCGTCCGATTTTCATAAAATTTTTACCAAAATTCTGTAATAATATAAAATGGCTATATCTCAAAAATGATGCAAAAATATTGAAAAACAGCCAAGTTATAATTTTTTTCTACAAATTTATCGAACATTTGTATGGGAGCTATATGATATAGTCGTCCGATCCGGCCCGTTCCGACATATATAGCAGTAGAGTATATAGAAGACTCTATGCAAAGTTTCATTCAGATAGCTTTAAAACTGAGGGACTAGTTTGCGTAGAAACAGACAGACGGACAGATGGACAGACGGACATGGCTAGATCGACTCGGCTGTTGATGCTGATCAAGAATATATATACTTTATAGGGTCGGAAACGTCTCCTTCACTGCGTTGCAAACTTCTGACTGAAATTATAATACCCTGCAAGGGTATAAAAATATTTGAAGTGGCTCAGCCAGAGCGCCAATACAATTTTTATACCCTTGCAGGGTATTATAATTTCAGTCAGAAGTTTGCAACGCAGTGAAGGAGACGTTTCCGACCCTATAAAGTATATATATTCTTGATCAGCATCAACAGCCGAGTCGGTCTAGCCATGTCCGTCTGTCCGTCTGTCCGTCTGTCCGTCTGTCTGTCTGTCCGTCTGTCCGTCTGTCTGTTTCTACGCAAACTAGTCCCTCAGTTTTAAAGCTATCTGAATGAAACTTTGCATATAGTCTTCTATATGCTCTCACTGCTATATATGTCGGAACGGGCCGGATCGGACGACTATATCATATAGCTGCCATACAAATGTTCGATATATTTTTCGAAAAAAAATTATAACTTTGCTGTTTTTCAACATTTTTGCACCATTTTCAAGATATGGCCATTTTATATTATTTCTGAATTTTGGTAAAAATTTTATGAAAATCGGACGACTATATGATATAGCTGCCATAGGACCGATCAGGAAATTAATAGGAAAAAAATTATAGCTTCGTTGTTTTTCAACGTATTTTTATCTACTCTGAGATATAAGCTTTTTTTATTATTCTAGAATTTTGGTATAAATTTCATAAAAATCGGGCAACTATATCATATAGCTGCCATAGAAGCGATCGGTAAATGCATAAAATATGTAAAGCTGGGAATGTAAAACGGTAACTGTCAAACTGTAATCATAATAAGTATAGGTAAAATGGAATGAAACTCTATAATATAAACATCAAAACCAATCTGCAAGGGTATACAAACTTCGGCGTGCCGAAGTTAGCTTCCTTTCTTGTTTTAAATGAAAGGTGAGAGGCCGTCACAATCGAATTTTTCCGAGTCATTGAAACTCGCCGCTGCGCGGTGACAGTCAGATTCGGAGACCTGCAGGCACCCAATGTTTGAGCTCGAAGCAATGGAACGCAGCATTGCATCATCGTTCCATAGAGAAGTTGGCTCAAAGTTTGAGGCGAAGTATTTGGCAAAAAGATTTGCCCCTTCTAGATCAGACGATGCAATTAAGCCGTTGTAAAGCATACGAGAAGGAATAGAGGAAGTTGCTTTTTTTGAATTAATAAAAATAGATAGATAGATATGTGTGGCACACACACCGCAGTCGTTGATGATTTGTTTATGACAGAGGCCTATTGATGGCAAGTGGTATGAATATTATATCGTACTGCAGGGATTCGACAGTAGTATGTGCATATATGTATGTATTTATGCATATGTACATATGTATGAATGAAATTGATTCGCGCCATTTGGGCAATTTAAGAGAATAATAAAAAATCATTTTTCATACCCATTTAAAATTGCCTGCTGCCGTTCGACAAAGGTTAAATATTCAAAGTCCAAATATTTCCATTCATTAATAATCTCAAACTGACTTTCTCTCTTGAAGGTCTCTGGAATCAAATCATGAGGAGCATAACCATCAAATCTTTCGGAAACTGAATGAACAATATGGGTTCCATTTATAATCGAAATAAAAAACAGGAATTGCAATGTTAAAATTATCCCGGCGCTATTCATTAGTATCAACTTCATAATGCTAATTTATAAATTTAATAACAAATATGTCCGGTATGTTATTGAAGTTTAGTCCACTGCTATCAAACTTGAACTGACCAACGACGTTGGATGGTGGGTATATTTTAATTTTGTTTGTATTTCCAAGACCTTTAATTTCAAGTTACTTGTTAAGTACTGTTTACACCACAAAGTCCTACTGAATCTAAACTATATGTAAATTTCTTTAATAAAACAAATTTAAAATTTTTTTAAAAGTATTACCTATCTCTAAAGTCTTGAAACCGTCCATACCCTACTGCGCAAGGTGTCTCTCAGCTTTCGAGCTGTCTATATAAAACTTTGCAGTCTTCTTTCTATTCTCATTGATATATATCATATAGCTTACTATATGATATATTATAGTCTACCGAGATATATCATATAGTCTACCGATATATATCATATAGTCTATCGATATATAGCGGAAAACTAATAGAAAAACATTTATTCATGTAATTCATGTAATTCTCGTAGTTTAGAATTACGGTTTTAATTTGATTAAAATCGTATAATTATATCTTATGACTTGCATAAGAGCGATGATGATATTATTATAAAACTAAAACGCCGAGGTTTGTATACCCATGCAATTTTGAATTAAATCATAAATCTATATATATTTTTTTACTGGCTTACAGTTACTGTTTTACATTCATAAAATTTTTTTGTACATCTGCCAATCTTTCCTATGCTAACTATATGATTCGTCCGATTTTCATAAAATTTAAACCGAAATTTCAAAATAACAAAAAAGGGCCATATCTCAAAGTAGAAGAAAATATGTTGAAAGATGCGAAATTGAAATTTTTTCTACAAATTTTCAGATTGTCCCTATGGCACCTATATGATGTTGTTAGTCGATCCGGCCAGTTCCGGCATATACACTACTGGCCGAAATAATATGTACATGCGTATGAGGTTTGTTTCGAGTGCTATAAAATTTGTTTAATAAACTTAAGGAAAACCCCACTTTATTTTTAGTTTCCGTACTTATTCCTGATAATAAAACAAGAAAGGAAGCTAACTTCGGGACGCCGAAGTTTGTATACCCTTGCAGATTGGTTTTGATGTTTATATTATAGATTTAAATGATGAAAACACTCACAAAACAGAGTTTCAACACATTTTACCTATACTTATTAAGTTTACAGTTTGACAGTTACAGTTTTACATTCCCAGCTTTACATATTTTATACATTTACCGATCGGTTTATATGGCAGCTATATGATATAGTTGCCCGATTTTTATGAAATTTATACCAAAATTCTAGAATAATAAAAAAAAGCTTATATCTCAGAGTAGATAAAAATACGTTGAAAAACAACGAAGCTATAATTTTTATACCCTTGCAGGGTATTATAATTTCAGTCAGAAGTTTGCAACGCAGTGAAGGAGACCTTTCCGACCCTATAAAGTATATATATTCTTGATCAGCATCAACAGCCGAGTCGATCTAGCCATGTCCGTCTGTCCGTCTGTCTGTCTGTCCGTCTGTCCGTCTGTCCGTCTGTCCGTCTGTCCGTCTGTCCGTCTGTCTGTCTGTCTGTTTCTACGCAAACTAGTCCCTCAGTTTTAAAGATATCTGAATGAAACTTTGCATATATCTTCTATATGCTCTCACTGCTATATATGTCGGAATGGACCAAGGGGGGCGCTAATCTGGTGACGCGCAGTGTATGTCGGAACGGGCCGGATCGGACGACTATATCATATAGCTGCCATACAAATGTTCGATATATTTGTAGAAAAAAAATTAGAACTTTGATGTTTTTCAACATTTTTGCAAAATTTTTTAGATATGGCCATTCTATATTATTTAAGAATTTTGGTATAAATTTTATCAAAATCGGACGACTATATGATATAGCTGCCATAGGAACGATCGAAAAATAAATAGGAAAAAAAATTATAGTTTCGTTGTTTTTCAACGTATGTTTATCTACTCTGAGATATAAGCTTTTTTTATTATTCTAGAATTATGGTATAAATTTCATAAAAATCGGACAACTATATCATATAGCTGCCATATAAACCGATCGGTAGATGTAGAGAAAATGTAAAACTGGGAATGTAAAACTGTAACTGTCAAACTGTAAACATAATAAGTATAGGTAAAATGTAATGAAACTCTGTTTTGTGAGTGTTTTCAGCATTTAAATCTATAATATAAACATCGAAACCAATCTGCAAGGGTATACAAACTTCGGTGTGCCGAAGTTAGCTTCCTTTCTTGTTTTCCTATTAATTTCCCGACTGTTCCTATGGCAGCTATATCATATAGTCGTCTGATTTTCATAAAATTTTTACCAAAATTCTGAAATAATATAAAATGGCCATATCTAAAAAATGGTGCAAAAATGATGAAAAACAGCAAAGTTATAATTTTTTTCTAAAAATTTATCGAACATTTGTATGGCAGCTATATGATATAGTCGTCCGATCCGGCCCGTTCCGACATATATAGCAGTGAGAGCATATAGAAGACTATATGCAAAGTTTCATTCAGATAGCTTTAAAACTGAGGGACTAGTTTGCGTAGAAACAGACAGACAGACAGACGGACAGACAGACAGACAGACAGACAGACGGACAGACGGACATGGTTAGATCGACTCGGCTGTTGATGCTGATCAAGAATATATATACTTTATAGGGTCGGAAACGTCTCCTTCACTGCGTTGCAAACTTCTGACTGAAATTATAATACCCTGCAAGGGTATAATAACTGCCTAAAGGATTTTACATTTCAAATTTAGAGACAGGGGTCAATTTTATCCAAAAAACATGAAAATGGATTGGTCAAAATAATAAGTACACCCATTCTTTTAAGCCTGGAACTCGGAACGTATTAGATATTTTTCACTTCTTTCTTCTTATAAGTAAATTTAGATTAGTATCCAGTAAAACCACACTCGTTTTATGTAACTTTCGCTATTATATTTGGCATTCTAGCAGCAAGTCTGTGGCAAGTCAGTACTAAAAACTGAGACCAGGTTTCTTCAGCAAATCTTCACAAATCTTCAAAATTTTAAAATGTTTTGGTTACAATTCGACTTGACTAGTTCATAACGGTTACCTCTCTCTTGCCAAAAAGGACCTGTTTGGTCATCCAAGGCCATTTTCGGCGCAATTGATTTTTAAATTTGAGCTCGAACAGTTTATCGTAGACTGCATGAGACGGGATTACAAGGACGTATACCCCAAAATGTTCTATTACTTCAAGGAAAAAATTTTCAGATGAAGCAAAAGCTATGCAACATTTTTTTGGTATGGTCTGACCGGAGGAGGCAAAAAAGTGGAAACAAAATACTTTGGGGCAATGAAACAAAAATAATACGATAAGCCAAAGTAAAAAAATGTAGGTTTGAGGCGCGAAAAGAAATAAGTTAAGCCCAAAGGCAGATGCATAATGGTCAGGGCTGTTTTTCTTGGCAGGGCGTTGTGCAAATACATGTCATTAATGGTATTACGACCGAATTCGGAAATAAAACTTTTTTAACGGGCATCTTCTAATCATATGCTAAGAGAAACATGCTTTCCGATACATTTTTCAACAACGGGATAACGATCCAAAGTATACCTCAAAAGTCATCATGGCCTGGTTTAGGGACAAAAAAGTAATCGTCATGGGTTGGAAAAGTCAGTTTCCGAACTCATACCTAATTAAAAATTTATAGGGAAACTTAAAACGTCGTTTTGTAACCAAAACATTATAAAATTTTGATGATTTGTGAAGATTTGCTGAACAAACCTAGTCTCAGTTTCTAGTACTAACTTGCCACAGACTTCCTGCTAGAATGGCAAAAATAATAGCGAAAGTTACCTAAAACGAGTTTGGTTTTATTGGATACTAATCTAAGTTTACTTATAAGAAGAAAGAAGTGAAAAATATCTAATACGTTCCGAGTTCCAGGCTTAGAAGAAGGGGTGTACTTATTATTTTGGCCAATCCATTTTCATGCTTTTTGGATAAAATTTACCCCTGTCTCTAATTTTGAAATGTTATTTTATTATCTGGAATAAGTACGGAAACTAAAAATAAAGTGGGTTTTTCCTTAAGTTTATTAAACAAATTTTATAGGACTCGAAACAAACCTCATACGCATGTACTTATTATTTCGGCCAGTAGTGTATACAGACCAGTTCTAGATTCCACTCAGAAGAGAGTTTGGTAACATTTGCATATTTCCTTTTAACATAAGCGAATTTCCTTTGTTGATTTTATGAAATTTTGTTCACTTTCCCCAAAATTTCCAAATAATTTCAGCTGACCGCTCTTAACAAATGTGTGGATTTGCTAATAAGCCCCAAATAAAATTTTGGCCTGCTGTAGTCTTAAACTCATGGATTTAAGGTAATGGAGCTTATCCTCCAGTATTTTACCACCAGAACAGCTGATTGCAATTATAAATATTTCATAATGAGAAAAAGCAGCCGCAATCTTCATTCGACTTTTAACTAATTAAAAGTTTTGTTTTGTTTCTGAAAATCGGCAATAGTTCCTTTTGTTGTTTTTAACCAGTTGTTTGGCATGCAAGTCTATCAGACTTGCCATAAGCCAAGCTTTAAAGCTTTTACGTATGGTGACGTGGTCTTTTTTGGGGCGAATCTCCCCTTTGGTTTAGTTTGTTTTGTAACATCGACCTATTTTTTTTTAGCATTCGTAATTGCAGGACTTGAGGTCATGAGAAAAAGCAGCCGCAATCTTCATTCGACTTTAAACTAATTAAACTAATTAACTAATTTAACTAATTAAAAGTCGAATGAAGATTGCGGCTGCTTTTTAAGAAGATTAAAACCGAAATTCTGAAATAATATAAAATGGCCATATCTCAAAAATGATGCAAAAATGTTGAAAAACAAGCAAAGTTATAATTATTTTTAAAAAAATTTATCCGTCCGATCCGGCCCGTTCCGACATATATAGCAATGAGAATATATAGAAGACTATGTACAAATATCATTCAGATAGCTTTAAAACTGAGGGACTAGTGTGCGTAGAAACGGACAGACGGACGGACATGGCTAGATCGACTCGGCTGTTGATGCTGATCAAAAATATGTATACTTTATAGGATCGGAAAGGTCTCCTTCACTGCGTTGCAAAACTCTTACTGAAATTATAATACCCTGCAAGGGTATAAAAAGCCAGTATTTTACCATTAGTTAATTCAGTTATGAAATAATGTCCCTAAACGTAAGATAATGATATATAATTAAAATTTGCAATTTACGTAATCGCATTGTATTTTAAAATAATACATTTCTGGACTTGCGGATCTGAATCCGCCAGCCAAATTAAACAGATTT